GAAAAAGAATGAAAATGATTAGTGACCCAGTGGTAGAGTGAAAGAAACAAAGGACAGTACTTTGGGGCTTAAAACAATTTGAACGGCACTGGACAAATAGGAGCAGTGACACAGGGGAAGGAATGCTGTTTCTGAAAGAAAAACGCTTTATACTGATCTGTATCATAATTGTGCTTTTAAAGTGTTCTGTTTTACTTTGTACCTGTTTATGTACTATGCCTGAAAAGCTCTGTTTCTTTCTGATATCTGTTGCCCACTGATGAGAGTTAAAGACAGTCATTGGGTGTCTTTATTGGTCAGTTGTGCGAGGCTTAGCCCTGTGTGTGGCTACATTCTGCCGACATTCTCATTTAATCTTTATGGTGGTTCTTGGAAATAGTTAACTTTTCACTAAATCTGCTCTTCTAGTGAGAGTTAAGACTTAGAGGACAGAAGGTCACACTGAGTTTTTGAAAGCAAATCCATGACACAAGTCGAGGCCCATTAGAGAGCAAAACCTGTATTCTCTACTGTTACTTAACACATGCAGTGTTTCACACTGCAGTATTACTAACTTACAAATTTATGAATAAAATGGAATGTGATGTGAGTCTAATGGTTTGAACTAGATTTGGGGTCATAAGGAGTTTTTATCACAGCCCTATGGTTTGGGGTAAATTAGTTACAGTAATGGGGTTGATGTTCTTATTGTTAGTTTGAGAATCCTTAGGCCTGATGAATTACCAAAAGAAGCACTGTTGATTTCTGTCTCCAGCTCTGTTTTATCTGTAAGGTATGAAACTGAGGAAAAAATATACAATCTTGAATTACAAAACTCTTGATTTGTATATGTGAAATGTGATTCTTTTTCATAACGTGAGAGAACTTACACAATATTTGGTTTATATTTTTTTTAATTCTTAACAAAATTGAATAACTAAATGTTGGGTAAAGCCCCCCCCCTTTTTTTTTTTTTGGTATGTTTTCTGGCTTTTATGGACATTATGTTAGGAGCCTGAAAAGATCATTTGACGTTTATAGTTCATGTTAACTTTTCTCTCTCTCAAATGGTTCTGAATAGCTAGGTGTTCATTTAATATCACAGGATGATGTCTGAGTCTGCATTTTTATAACCTGTGCATTTCTGTCAACAAACTAAAACCATATTACCCATGCATGGAATATTTGAGGCCATCATTTTCATGTGATGTTGTATCTTTTATATTTTGAAAAGTTGTAAGAAGGTAGATCTTACTTATATTGGCAGCATCCTGTGTCAGGATATGTGCTCCATTAACAGTTGTAGATGTTGCTAGCAATAAATTCTTTAAAGGCGATTTAAAGAAATCCTCTCATTGACCTAGGTTTGAAACAGGAGTTCATTTTTGAGTTCCCAGAAAAAGATTGGAATAATAAGACTCAATTTGAGTCATCTGCTTAAGGATCCCCTTAGAGAGTTGAGTTGGGATTTTATTGCTACGGTCAGTGAATGATTTCACTCCTTCCTCTTTCACATCCATACCTTCTGAACATGCCTTGAAGAGAACACTTTACTTTTTAACGCTTTACTTTGTTTTTTTCAACTTGATGAGTTTTGAGGTAACTGGACAGCTGTGAAACCATTATCACAATCTATTCCAGTAAATGTATCCACTACCTCCAAATGTTTCTTTTTGGCATTTTGGAAGAAAGTTCTATTAGCTCAATAATTTCTGTTTCAAATCAAATGCCTGTGGAGCTGATGAATAATTGTTGCAGTGTTTCTTCCAGGTTGTGAATGTAGAACCTGTACTTACATGGCATTAAAAGGACTTAAGAGTAGCAGAAAATTATTAGGCAACAAGTGTAAGTGGCTGTTACATGTCAGATATTCTTTTAATGTTGAGAGACTCATCAGTGAAAAAAAATCCTTGCTCTCATGGAGCTGACATTTGATTTGAAGGAGGGAAGCCAGGAGGAGGACTTGGGAATGTGGGGTTGGAGTTTGGAGGTCATGAACAGAAGGAGACTGCTATTTTAAATCGAGTGGACAATTAGACAGATTCATTTTAAAGTGGACATTTGAACAGTTTTGAGGTCATTAAGTGAATGAGTCATGCAGATATCTGGGGGAGAAACATTTCAAACAGAGAAAGTAGCTAATACAAACCCCTGAAGTGAGCTTGCTCACATCCTGAGGGACAAATAGCGCTACTTACGGAGTCTGGTGCAACTGGGTCAGAGTGCAAGGAGGAAGAACTAATGAAGGTAGGGAGGCTATCAGCCTGAATAAACTGCATAAGGTCGTGTGAAGAGTTAAACTCCAAGAAAAAGGAGAAATCACTTCTGGATTGTGAGCACGTGGGTAACATACTTTGAATTATGTTTTCAGAAGGTCACTTAGGTTGTATGATAGCATACCAGGAGCAGAAACAGAGAACTGTGAGGAGACTGTTGCGGTAAGCCGAGATACTGGCCCTTTGGACTGGGCTAGTGGCAGTAGGCTAGTAGCAATAGATGAGGAGTTAGATTCCGGTATAGTGAAGGTAGAGACAACAGAATTTTATGCTGGATTAGAAATGTTTCTCCGAGAGAGTAACAAGGATCGCAAACTTTACAGCCTTAGCAACATTTGCTGTGTTGGAAAAGGCTTCAGGGGAAGCTGACTTGGGGGTAGAGATTAGGATTTCTGTTTTTAGATAAAGTAAATTTGAGATGCCTAGTAGGCATTCAAGTAGAAACATTGAGAAGTCAGAAAAATAAATGACTGGTATTAAGGGGAGAGACTCAAACATAGATTGTGCAGGGATTAGATTCTCCATGCTATCAAGTTTTATCGCCAGTCAGTGGGGCATGAGTTGGATACCTGGCCAGGGAGCTCTCTTCTGGTCTACAGACATACGGTGCAGCAGACCTCTCTTCTTCCACTGCTTCTTTTTGCAGTACATTTCAGTACATCTGCCAGCTCTGCTCCTCACTCTGTCTTTGGTGAATCTTCTCACCTACCTCTGGCCTGCAACCCAGTTCTTGACTGAATGAATGAATCTTAATTAAAAAAAAACTCTAAAGTCAAGATAGCTAGAACTGAACCTTAATGTTTGGAGGTTGTGATGGTGATGAAGAAATGGTAAGCAGTCTAGCAAATTGAAGTTAGTGGGATAGGATTAAAAAGCAAGAGATTCTAATGTTTGGCAGGCAAATGAAGAATTTGTTTCAAGGGGTATGAGTGATTCCCATTTCTACTTGCTGCTGAATAGATCAGCTGAGCACTGAGACTTAGACTTGGCAATATGTAGATCACTGACTGGGTTACCTTCTCCAGAGTGGTTTGCAGTGAAGTTGTAGAGAGGAAAACTTTGTTGAAGTAGGTTGTAGATATAATAGGAGAAGTGGGGCTTAGAGAAAAGGGAATGTAAACCTCTCCTTTCCTCCATCCCATGAATTGCTGTAAGTGAAAAGAAATCAGGTGGTACTAGAGGAATATATAGGCTTGCGAAGATTTGTTTCTAAGATGGGAAATTGATTACTTTGAAAGAGGATTGCTGAAAGGGGGTTGGTGAATAGGGGTGTTAGAATGGTACTAGAGCTGTACTTCTTAAACTTTATTCTGTAAAGTTGCTACTTTGGGTTCTTTTTAGAATGCAGATTATGATTCTGTAGACCAGCAGTGGACCAGAAGTTAATGTATACCTATTAAGCTCGTAGGTGAAACCTGTGATTGGTTTTATCACATATAGGTTGTGTTATCTATCGAGTATAAAAAGCTGGCACTTTGAGCACAAGAACTAACAGGTTATATTGGAATAAATTCAAACAGATCAACATTCAGAGTTTTTGCTGCGTGTCTCTTCAGGTTATTCTAATTTTCTCAGTGAAAGAGGAAGCAAGTCATTATCCCAGCGTGAGGATAGAGAAGATGGTATAAAATTATCTGTAAGAACTGAGTTAGTTGTAAACTGGAGGAGTAGGGTTGTGGGCTTGGCTCTAGGGCCCTTTTGGGGTTAGTGGTTATGTAATTGAGATGTATCAGATAAGGGTTATCTGTTACTCTTTATTAACTTCCAGCTACGTGAATGCAGGTGAGGACTAGATGGGTAGTTGGGATTGAGAATGTCAAGTATTTTGGTGGGAGAGAGGAGCAAGTGACTTACGGATGTATTCAGGGATGTTACAGATTACTCACCTGGGAGTCTAAACTGCTTTGGGAAAGTGAGAAAATAGAATGCTAGATGAAACAAAGAAAATGTATTTTTTGGTGTTTTGTTTTTAATTGTAGTCTTCCCATCTTTAATTTGTTAAGGAACTGTATACATTTTTAGGAAAGGAAAAGAGTGTTCTTGCTCTCCCCCCCCCCTTTTTTTGTTAATAAACACATTAAGGAACCTTTTCAGTTTTAGTGTTTCTCTGAGCTTGTACTTTGTAAATTTAGAGAAAATAAGTCTTATACTTTGGCTAACTCAAGTGTTAACATCAGGGATCATGATCATAAAGTGGGAGACTGCTGCAGATTAAAAAAAGAGGGAAGTCTCAAAGGGTTTTTTTTAAATTGTATCTGTCAGGGCGCCCTCATCTGTGGTGGCTCAGTGGATTGGGATGCATGCAGATGCAGCATTGCAAGATAGCTGCAAGCCACTTCAGCTTGAGTTCGATCCCCGCCCAGGGAGCTGTCCCACATGGTGTGGCAGACCTCTCCTGTCTTGCCCACTGGTCCCCTCAACAGTGTACTTCGTCCTTCTGCCTGTTCTGCTCCCCACTCTGTCTCTGGTGAACCCTCTCACCGCCCCTGCACCTCTGACCTGTACCCCAGCTCTGTGATAATAATCTTTTTAAAAAAAAAAAAAAACCTGACTACTTAAAAAAAAAATTGCTTCTCAACTCATAAACAACTTTAAAGGTGTGTCCCTTTGTTTCTGTTAAAACAGTTTGTTAACATCCTTGTAAGTCATACAGATATATAATCATAATAATTTATTAAATAGACAAATACAGAAAGATTTTCAACCATTGGTTTTTTGTTTTCTTTTGTCTCTTTCTCTTGGATATTGCAGATGACCATGGATGAAAAATATGTAAACAGCATTTGGGACCTTCTGAAAAATGCAATTCAAGAAATCCAGCGTAAGAATAACAGTGGTCTTAGTTTTGAGGAGCTCTATAGAAATGCATATACAATGGTTTTGCATAAACATGGAGAAAAACTCTACACTGGACTAAGAGAAGTTGTTACCGAACATCTCATAAATAAGGTATCCAACTTTAAAGGACTGTTACTAATTATATTGAATCTAGAAAATCCTTCATACTGTGTTTTACTTTTTGACTAGAGTATTTTAAAGGCTCAAGGGAAGTCTATAGAAATAATTATCAATTAATGACTGTTATAAAACTTCAATCAGAACTTAAATGAGAATTGTTGCTAATTAAGAGAAGATGAAAAATTTGTGATCTGTGCTATAACGATAAGTAAAGAAGCAATCTTAAAACAATTTACAAATTATTTGCTTGTTTGTTAGGATGTCCACTGAGGTACTTTTTCTTTTAAAGGCTTAACCCATTTTAGCTTTCTTTACTTTTTTATTTGAAAATAATAAACTACAGTATTTAAAAAATATTGTCTGAGACTTTTCACCAATTGAAGTTGACTTTAGTAAACTTTAACTGAGTTTTGCTTTGATAGATCTGAGTTTTTAAAAATAATAAATTAATGGTGAGCTTATTTAACATTATGAAATGGTTCTTTGGTTCCAAGAAGGATGTATTTGTTTTTAGAACAAATGTTTTTTATAGAGCAAACTCTTCCATTGGAAGTATGCCTTGCTTTAAGATTATCATATGACATATGAAGTACCACAGAGAAAAACTTATCAAAGTTTTAGTGTGGTATTAGGGCATTTAGTTTTTCAGTTTTATTTTGGAAAAGTTACATAAGTAGTACAGTGATTTCTTGTGCACCACTTAGATTCACCAGTTAACCTTTTGTCAATCTGAGTATTTTATTATAAATGTTACTATTATTGCTGAGAGTTAAAAAGTAAGTTTATCCTAATAGTTTGATATGTTTCTCCTATGAATAAGGAAATTCTCTTAACCAAAGAACAATGTTGAAAATCGGGTAGTTCAACTTTTATATAATACTGTTATCTATGCAGTCCATGTTCAAATTCACCAGTTGTCATGTGTAGCAGTGATGTCCTTTATGGCAGTTTGTTTTCTGATCCAGGATCCAATCCAGGATCACTCAGTTCTTACCCTTTCTTTGTCTTTCAGCACATTGACATTTTTGAAGAGTATTGGTCAGATGTTTTGTAGATTGTCCCTTAGTTTTTGGTTTGTCTGATTGTTTCCTCATGACTAGTTTCAGGTTATGCATTTTTGGCAGGAATAATACATAAGTGATGTTGTGTCCTCAGTGCATCACATCAGGAGGCACATGATGTCAGTTTATCCCATTATTGGTGGTGTTAACTTTGATCACTTGGTGTCCGCCAGATTTCTCCACTGTGAAGGTACCTTTTTTCCCTTTGTAATTCATAAGTTAATCTGTTCAGATATATTTTGAGACTGTGTAAATATCCTGTTCCCCACGAAACTGTCATGGGATGGTTTTAGTGTCCATTGATGATTCTTCTATGAATCATTGTTAGTTTGGTAATTACACAATGCCTTTCTACTTCTACTCCTTCTATAATTCCCTTTTAAGTGGAATTACATGAGCAGGAAGCTAGTATCTCATTGAAACAAGGTGATTGTGTTATTAATGAAGCCAACATTTTTTGTTTAATGCTTGCTGTGCAAAATTTCCTAAGAAAATAGAGTGGATGTAAAGAGATGATACTATCCCTTCCTAGGTTTGTTTTTACACTCTGAGCTGTCACACACAATTTAGATACCAGTGTGGGGCATTATTTAATGAAATGGCAAATGAGTTGTGTAGGTATATAGGCAATAAATGATTTAGGGATTCAAATGAGAGAGAGATTACCCTGGTCTACAACATTTCATGGGAAGAGTTCAAATAAAACTGTGCTTGAAAAATTTGATACGGAATTGAACATGTAGTAGGCATACCAGAGAGCAGATGTTAACGTGATTATACAGAAATAGGCTGGGTGTACTTTGAAGGTAGTAAGGAGATTTTAATTGAGGTATATGATAATATGTGGGGATTGGAGGGTTATTATAGTCTCACAAAGATGGTTTGGGAACAAATTGGAGGAAAACTGGAATGCCAAGGTAAAGAATTTGGACTTAGAATTTAAGTTTATTGGGTGTTATTAAGGAATGATGATGTGACAGTATGTTAAGATTAACCTGAGGATGCTATAAATGTAATAACCTGAGGGTGTATTAAAAAAAATGTTTTGCTAGACAAAGAAGATCTGGAAAAGTCTTAAGTGAGTGGATGATGTCAGAAATTTTGAAGACTAGAATTTGGTTACCAGGAGAATCATGAAGTTACAGTAGAAAGCAGATTGGGGAGGTTACAAGAAAGGGCAGATTTTAGGGCAGATTTTTTTTTTATTGGACACTTTTACAGTTGCTTGAAGACACGTTTGAAGTCATTTTACATGTGAGATAATTAGATGCTTAGGTAGAAATGTCATATATGTTTGGTGTTGAGATATACAGGTGTTGAACTTGGACAGGAACTCAGAACTGGAGGTCAAGATTTGGCATTTAGGTAGTATATGTTGAAGAATTTAGAGACTGAAAAATGCACCAAGGGGTGAATATTCAGGGGCAAATGAATAAGTAGATGTGGGAAGTGATAAAGAAAATCTAAGAAATTTGGTATTATAAGCAAGAAGAAAAGACTGGGAGTCTTGATAAAGCTGGTCAATGAACAACAGGGTTCTTGGATATGATATGTGAATTGAGAACAATGGAGGAGATAAAAAGGTAGAGTGGGGCATGTCCTTAATTACTAGAGGTTTGATAGGAAATAATAATGATCACAGCCTGATTCCTATTTAGTATTTATTGTGTACTAATCCACTTCTTGTATTATGTATTAACTTAGTCAGTGGTTACAACCCAGTGAGCCAGATAAAACTGTTAACCTCTGTTGTACAGATGAAGAAACCTAGACGCAGGATTGTGGTTTGCCTAGATATACAGGTAGCTGTTAAGTGGCATAGCTGAAACAGAATTCAGGCAGTACGGTTTCCAACTGAATCCTTGACTCTTGACTGGTATAGATCTGCTCTTGAAGTATGGATCAAAATGTAATAAATGTAGTGTAATTTTGTGTGTAGGTCTTTGAAGTAAATGAGTCAGTGTTTGTAAAGCTATAGTCCAAGATTCTGGATCTTGGTTTATTTATAATTAAAACGAAGATATTGGCTGTAATATCTTTGAGATGTTTTTTGTTTGAAACCATTATGAATCTAATAATTAGGTCATGAGCCTTCTGAAGAGACTTGGGCTGACAAATAAGGAAAAAGATAGCATTGTAGAAGTTGGTCTGAATGTATGATTTTGTTTTTGATTTTGAAACAGTGCTTTGCAGCTTGGGCACAGATGCAGAAGGGAAAAAATTGTAGTTATGGGCTGTGGTTGAGAATTGGCTCATCCAGAAAGTGAGGAGAGGAGGAGAGGTCAGTGTGTGAGCAGTGTTTTAAGTGACTGATTTTTAGACTCTGAAACATAGTTAGGTAGAAATCAAAGTCATCAGAAAAATAGCTCGGTGGTAACTCGGAGAATTTCAGCATATTACAAGTTGCTTAAAGTAGATCAATGCGTAAGATTACAAAGTACAGGCAGTCGTCTGTAGTATGTTGCAGAGAACAAATATTCATGTTTGTTGTCTATGAAATGAATGCTAATCTTTTACAATGTTTTATTCTTACACAGGCATTAGTACTGTTTTGGCAGCATCTGAAAATGTTCTTTTTTTCTTTCACACTTGTTTGACCAACTTACATCAGTTAATTTCTGATTGGGAAATGTATTCATTTTAGCAGATCTAATGAGTGATTTCTTTACTTGAATTGAATGAAGTTGCTGAATCTCCTGCTAAGTACCATGTTTGTTTTACATTTGTCTTATTTTTTTTCTGTTAATAGAAATTCTTTAATAACTGTACCAAACAGTACTTGAAAGGAATATTGCCGCAATATTCCAGCTTTGCCTTCATACAGTAGCCCAAAATGTTTTCTCCCTGTTTCTGGAAGTCTCGATTTGTTTTTCTAAATAGGATTTAGGAATATTAGTAATGCGATGTGTAAAAGTATTGTTTTCATGAAATTCTGTATCGCTTGTCTCTGCATTGCATCTTCTGTCTGGAAGATGAGTGAATAGGGTTCTATGGTATCAAACTAGCCATCTTCAGTCTATCTTATTTGTGATTCCAAAAGCATTCCTAGGTGGTCTCTTTACCAATTTTTTTCTATACTATGCTTTTTAGCAGTTAGCTAAACTATGTAATAATACATTTTTAAAAAGTAATTAGCATTTTAGTATTGTGATGTAGAAAACCAGGAGCCATCTTTTCACATGGAAAAAGTCAAAAGGAACTATACATGGAATCAGGACCAGTTTGTAATTAGTTTGTTGGTAATTTGTTTCAAGATGAAAATAGTGAACATTTTAAGCAACATTTTTGGTAAAGCAGAGTAGTACAGCCAGCCAGAGGGCAGATGAGGGAGTTCACTTTTTTGTGATAAAAGTTAAGGATCATTTGGCTTTGGAAATAAGATCACAGTGTTGAGATAGTCATTGAAAAGGTAAATGTTCTTTTTCTTACTTGATAGTATAGTCTTACTATCTCTGTAGGAATTTTTTCTTTGAGGAAATTGAGAACCCCAGGAATTGAGTGAATCTGTCAAGACCACAAAGCAAACTAACTGTGATGTGGTCCCTCTGGCTCAACATAAAAACAGTTTTATGGTAGTTAGTATAAAAACATCTCAGAATTCACAGGAAGTTTTTGAAAAACTTTTTCCTGAATAAAATGACTTTAAAATCATGGCTTTACTGGACGGGAAAAAATTCTGCTGCTTGTCAGTTTTAAGGATTTTTAAATTCTGGATCATTTTGTTAAAGTCTAAGAATTATTCTTACAACTTAAAAGAAGAACTCGGCATACTTATTACTTGCCAGGCTGTGACTTAGGTATAAGAGAAATGTCTACTCTGCCATGGTGGAACAGATAAACAAGTAACAAGTGTTTAGTTATGAAATGTTATGAAGAACACAAGATACAGTTATAGAGAAAAATGATAGCAACTGCATATGACAAGAACAT